GCAGGAAATGACAGTGATAAAGTAATTCAGCTTCCTAGTACTAAGTGCACACAAAATAGTGGAGCTATAAAGAACAGACACAATAAATACATGTAAATGTCCACTTAAACCAAATTCAGATGTAATCATTCACATTTACATATTTCTGGCTACATACAGCTGGCCCATATCTCAACAGTTAAAAGGCTGCAACATGATAACGGCTGTAAAGAGAAACTGGTAACGATAATTATCTAGTCGGCTCAGGACATCCTGTGTGTATGCAAATTACATCTGATTCACCACAAGCTGTTTTCCTGTTTCTACATGTACCTGAATAAATGACCCCCAACTGGTACTTAAGTTCATAGCATTTTTGCAAAGCCCATGCGTGTCTATCCCTGCAGTAGCCAGAGGATGGCGTCATACTCACTCACTCATCACATTCATCGTCGTCTGCCTCTTTCAAACTCATTCCATTTTGTCACCCGTCTGTCTAAGCGAACTAAAAGTTAAGAGTGAGGCAGTCACAGAATGACTGTATGACTGAGTCACCAAGATGTGTGTCATTTGTCTTGGTTGTGGTAAAAAGGAGAACGTAGACAAATGAAAGAGAGGAATAAATTCTGCACCATAGTCCGCTTTTAAGCTGATGATGTGGCCACTGTTCTGTACAACCAGTGCATATGTGGGCCAGCTGAGTCAACTGTTTCCATTACAATTAAATAATAGGAAAAGATGCGATGTGACCTTCCTGTTTTTCAGAGCTGATGCACATTCCTATTAATCTTTCGACCATGTGTTGGTTTGAGTAGTTTCACGGTCTTCGACTGTTTATTGGTCTTCAGTTACTTTATATACTGTGGTGGCTCCTACTGTGTATACTGTGTATACTGTGTATACTGTGTGTACTTGTGTCTGTTTTTTGTATCACTATACTGAGAAGGCATGATATCATCCTCCCTCCACTCTCTGTGTGAGGGAGGTTTCTTCCTATGACTACATATCGTCACCTCCCCATATGGAACAACTTGGCATCTGTTAAAACAGCTTTTCTCATATTTAAAAAAAAAAAAAAAAAGATTATGTTAAAGTTATTACCAATTTCTCACCTTAGGCTCTGTGATGAAGTCTTAAATCACTGTTTCATGGAAATCATTAAAATTTTCCTCAGAGATAAGGTCAGTCTTCCCAAATTTGTATTGACTCCTCCCTCCAGCCTGAGCTAACACATTTTCTTTTTTTACCTCATACTTCAGCACAGAATTGTTTTGTTTGGACACTGGGGTAAACCCATTATTTTGAAATCCAGGAAGATCATACTGTGTCTCATTTTTGCCATTGGAAGTGAATTTGTGGTCCAAGCAACTAGAATGAAGTCCTTTAAATAGCCATTAACTTTAGCTATACATTCACAAAAGATATGATTAGTTTCAACAGCAGCTTTAAGAGGTTGTAGCTGTGGGGCAATTCTTT